TACAAGTAAAGTAATACATATGACCACTCCAGGAGCTCCAGCTATAAGCGGATTCATAAAATATGGACGATTTGTTGCTGAAAATTGTTGAAAATAAGACAGTAAGTGGAAAATGGGTACTAATAATAACACAAAACGAGTCGAGGAGAATGATCGAACTGTGTATCGTTCAATGCCGCTTAAGGCCTGTCCACCCATCGAATTGTATTTGTTTAGCAGAAAACAGATAACCTACCTATCATATATGGTACCGGAATCGCTACCGAAAAAAACGTTCCGATACCGGTAAAGAGTTGAATTGCGAAAAATATGAGGAGTGGCCGACTCAGGGATTTTTCACATTCAGGTAAAACACTGAGTGTTGCAAGGTTTAGGCACGTGCCTAACAGACCTAAAACAAAGGTCATGATCAGTAATCACACGAAGAAATCAATCTAAAATTCCGCCGAGACGTCTGAAATTTATTATCTGATTTTATTTCCTATTATTATCAAGTATCAAAACGTACTCACTTAGAACCAGGTATCCAGAACCAATGACGACCTTCTTCATCTCCGTAGAAGAATAACTTGTAATAGAATCATTCATATCATGATGGATATTCTGGAAAACGACCGAAGAATCTCTAAATGACGGAGGAGGAGATTATGAAAAAACGATTGCGTGCAAAAAGGAAAAGGAATCTTCAAATTATAGAGGAAGGCTCACGAAGCAATAAATCACGAAATGATTGGAGGGATTTTTTTGGAGTCTGGCAGCTTGAAAGCTTTTGCTGTTACCGGAGGAGATGACAAGGATTCCTAACTAGACCTTTTTCAAAGATATGTTTGTGATAGGTTTTAGATGTAAAGTCTAGTAATTTTAAGTCTCTATACATATATCCTTTGCAAGAACCTATCCCTTCCCCTTTAATCAGAATTCAGTCACTTCGTTTAGTTACATAGGTAAACTGTGTACCTGTACCTGCGCTAGCTTTCTCAACAAAGCGAAAGGGACTCAGGAAATACCTCATTAGGGTTGAGACGATCCCTCAATGCCGACTAGTTTGCCTTTCTGAAAATCAGGCTACATGGGGTGTGGTGCAGTAGGATCGAAATCGTCGCGCCGCGGAGAGAGGGACGCCGCGCGCCAAGGAACGTAACAGAATGCAGCAGTACGTAAGAAGCACAGGAACAAAGGAACTAACAGTAGAATCATGCCTAAAATAATGACCAGGAATTCACCGAGCTGTATGAAGAACGGTAGTGCTCTAATAACGGCGAATCGACTTGTCCGCGACAGCCGCGTGCGGCGAATCGATTACACAAAACCGATCCTACTGCCCGTCTCCCATTCACAGGGGATGATATACGAGTTAGGCGAACGGACGAAAGGAGACTGTGTTCACCTATCGCTCCAAAGTAGCGAAGGCTTCATATTCTACAGATTTTCTTCGAACGAAACCGGCTACGAGAGGGAGGATTATGTCGGTGGACGGATAGTTCTGTAGGCGTTTAAAGATCCTAGCAGAAATCGGAACCAGAAGTTAGAAGCCTGAACGAAGGATAGGGGTTTTCAAATGAGTCAGCTAAATGGTGTCATTGTCGATGACAGCATGATTATAGATTCGGATCAGCTGCCAAGACCAGGTGACGTGTCATTGTAAAGTCATCAATGCAGTAGTTATAGTCTATCATTAAGCTCCACTGGTTATGGTTATGTTGAGCAGTATGGTTTCAAATGCGAGAAGCTCGAAAACCACATTTCCCACATATTTTACCAATAATTCCTCCAATCCAGAGTATTGCTGCATTTCTTTCTTCTCAGAGGCCTGATTGACATGCGTATGTAGCTATCCGCACTCACCCATAACTTTGGCCAACTTGCCGTTAATTCATTCAGGCCTTCATCCCACTGGGAAAACATCAAACACTGTGCCTCCTCCTACAATGAATAAATCATTGTTATTACTTTTTATGCTTACTAATTAGAGCAGCAATTTATGTCTAAGCAGTTTTGGCTACAAACACCTAAATCATGAGGGAAAGGCGGCTTGACTTCCCATACCAAACACTTGGTTGAAGATCCCAGGGAGCCCACTTGGGCTGTGATTTTCTCTCTTCCCCTGTCCCGTTCAAGTATGCCTTGCAATGGCTTCTTTTGAAGCTTCCAGGAATATTTGGCACCTTTTTACTCTCTTAGAACTGATGCAAGGTAATGGTCACCATTTGTTCGAGAGAAAGAATAGAACATTTTCAAGTGAAACTTAATTTTGCCACTCCTCTGGGGAAATGGGGAGGATCTCTGTGGCGTCAAGCACTTTGCGCCACATGCTGAGCTAATTAAACGGAACATGTGATTCTCATCAGCAGTCCAGGAAAGCATGTTGTTAGGGTGGCTATAGCAGATCAGTGGGTGCCCCAAGAGTGTGCGGCTAAAAGCTACCCCAATTGATACCTATACGGGAAGAACCTTAGCAAAGTATAAATACATCTGATGTAATGAGAAATTGAAAAGAGTTTTAGCTCTATTATGGGATCTAAGCCTTGCTTCTTTGTTGTAGGAAATGAAATTCACATCAGAATATGTGATACGTTTCAGGGACAGGATCAAGCTTATGGCCTAGGATCGGGTAAGGGTTATTTGAGAGGAAGTATTCGGTAAAGGAGCGAAACAGTTGCGAAGGGTCATAATTCGGTAGATTTAAGTATATCATATCCAAATTTTTGCCCACGAAATTCCCTCCTTATTTGCTCACTAACTATTCCCTAGCCGAGGAACTTCATCGGTGTCGAGGGAGTATCCCAGAGAGTATTTCAGGGAGAATCCACTGGTAGAGCCATAGGAGCAGAGCTATTGCTGAGAGTTGACCCTTTCAGAGACAACAAATCCTTACTGTACCTGTTCTATTGTCTACTCGTCTACTCGTCTCTCTGTCTATCCCACACCCCTCAATGGATTACTTTTGCCTTTTACATCGAAACGGAACAGCACTGTGCCATCACTGACCCCGTTACTTCCCAGTGAAGTAGGCAGAGTGAAGCCCATAGATATCGTCCGACGTTCGTCGATGGTGAGCACCCGGTAAACTAGACTTGTAGGGTTCCACACTTATGAAGAAACAGAGTAGGCCTAGGACAGAGCTCTTTATTTTGGGGAATTCAGAGAAAATGAAAAGACCAGGTACCTTCGAGTTCCTGTCTTAACCATGCAGGTTTCTGGGTTTTAATGTTGATTGCCGGAGAAACTTGCCTTTCAAAGTCACAAAGCAGTAGAGCGCAGCTAAGTATTACTCCTGGACTGTTGTCAGTACACAATTGTCAGTACAGAAGATATAAGGCCATGTCTCAGAAGCGATGAACGAAGGTGTCAGTCGGAGAGAGAGAGCTCGTGAGCTAGGCATTAGACGTTTGAACGTCCCATCTGGTGGGCCATTACAACACTGGCGGCTTGAGGAGAAAAATAAGTTCTTTATAGAGTTGTAAAATGCTTGATATACCTTAAGAGAGAATTCATCATTTCGTGGGCCATTATTCTTGCTTTTTGTTGTTGTTTTTACAGAGTAAGAGAAACATCAAGTGGCTCGTGATGAGGGACGTAAATCACATTGACAGATTGGGCGATGATTGATGCAAAAAAGCTGAGGAAATGGAAGGAAAGAAATGAAAGAAGGACCAACAGTTGGGATGAGTTGAATAAATGCAACACAGAATGGGAGCTGAACGTAGCGGGGTTCATACTTCACGAAGAGGGAAGCGAAAAAGGAAAGGCGAGGTGGTTTTAACCACATTATCTCGAATAAAAACAAAAAAAAAATGGTATCCAAAACAAGAAAATGATCAATGGCAAGAATGGTTAATGAAAGAGTGAAACAGACGAAATTTTGATATCTCCTCGAAGAGCGCCATGCAAAACCACAATGGCACGCGTATGGGTAAACGATGGCTTATGATGCGGGAATCATATCTGACCTTCTAAAAGAGTTCGCTGTCAGAGGAAGAAACCTAATGGTACAAAAGTGACAAAAACGACAGTTAGTTGGCAATCTGGGTGGTAAAATTGAACACATGCGGGTTAACGACGTGGATGTGTTCAATTTCACACCCGGACTGCCAACTGATTATTAGCTTCACACCTGAACCCAACTCCCCGTATGTGAAGACCATCATGTTTCAGAAAACGAAAGAGGTATGTATGGAGATAAAAGCAGAAAGCTCCATTTGAAAGTTTCATCCCGAACGCTTAGGGCGC